GGAAGGAGGGAGGGAGGAAGGAAGAAAAGGTGGAAGGAGGGAGGGAGAGAGGAAGGAAGGAAGGGAGGGAGGGAATCTGTTTGATCTGAGCACTGGTGTTTGGGAGCCACTTCCAAATAACACCCCATTTATCCCCTGAACCTCAGTTTCCCCAACAAACAGAAGTCCGAGGAACCTTCTCCTACCCTCATGAGCTCCTCTTTAGGCAACAACCTGTCCGAACTGGACCGGCTCCTCCTGGAATTGAACGCTGTCCAGCACAACCCCTCACCTGGCAGCCCCACAGGTACGAGGGGCTGGGCTCTAGGGTCAGGATCACGCCATTGGGAGGGGTGGGGGCGGTGAGAGGAACGGGGAGGGGTGTAGCAGGACAGTGGCAGCATCGCCTGACCCCCTGGAATGGCTCTACAGGGAACCTCGACTTACGACCACAAGGGGAGGCCAAAGCGTAGCTCGCTCGAGAAGCGAGAAATTTTTTGTTTAAGGGAGTTTTGCCCCGTTTTACGACCTTGCCGCGGTCGTTATGCGGATCACTGCAGGCGTGAAGCTGGTAGCGTGGTTGTTAAGGGAATCTGGCTTCCCCATGGGCTTTTGGTCGTCCGAAGGTCGCAAAAGGGGAGCGTGGGACGCTGCCACCGTCGTAAGTGCGAGTCAGTTCCCGAGCCTCCAAATATAAATCGCAGGACCTTGGGGAAAGAGGGCAAGGAATAGAAATGTGGGCCCTGAAAAATCACAAGCTTTGCTTTGGTTAGGAAGAACAACAGAAGAGGGGGAGGGTCCTTGGAGGTCTTCTAGTCTAACCCCCCCCCCCCCCCCGCTCGAGTTATGCCACCGTTTTTTAAAAAAATATATTTAAGCATATTAATATTATGAATAAAATGCATCAAGCACGCTCAAAGGTCCCGCCTGCATTTTTATTTTTATTTCTATTTTGACTTGTAAGATGAGAATGCAGGAAGCCCCTCGCGGCCCGGTGGGACTGGCTCCCCCTACAGCCTCCTGGAGAACACTACCTCTGTGGCTGCGCAGCCCCCAGCCCCAGGGAAAGAAAAGCCCAAGTGGAATGGGGGGCCCGGGGTGGAAGACATCTGCCCCAGCGTGGAAAGCCTTCTGGATGAACTGGAGAGCTCCGTGCCCAGCCCTGTGTGAGTAGCCCCCCCCCCCCCCCCCCGATGACTACCCACCCGGCTAAGGGGTGACGGTATTTCTGGAGGGAGAGGGGGGATTTGTGGTGTCTCCCCTTAAAAACAGTGTTTCTCAGCCTTGGCAACTCTTAACATGGGTGGACTTCAACTCCCAGAATTCCCTGGTCAGCATGCTTGAAGATTCATGGACTTCAACTCCCCAAATTACCAAGCCTCATGCTTGAAGATGGGTGGAATTCAATTTCTATGTCCAGAATTCCTCAGCTGGGGTGCTTTAAGATGGGTGGACTTCAACGCCCAGAATTCCCCAGCCAGTATGTTTTAAGATGCATGGACTTCAATGCCCAGAATTCCCTGGCCAGGATGCTTTAAGTCAGGTGGGCTTCAACTCCCAGAATTCCCCAGCCAGCAAGCTTTAAGATGGCTGGATTTCAACACCCAGAATTCCCCAACAGGATGGGTGGACTTCAACGCCCAGAATTCCCAGGCCAGCAAGTTTTAAGATGGCTGAATTGCAACTTCCAGAATTTCTTAGTTACATGCTTTAAGATGGGTGGACGTCAACCCCCAGAACTCCCCAGCCAGCATTTAAGATGGGTGGATGTCACCACCCAGAATTCCCTGCCAGGATGGGTGGACTTCAACGCCCAGAATTCCCCAGCCAGCAAGTTATAAGATGGTTGGATTTCAACTTCAATGCCCAGAATGCCCTGGCCAGGATGCTTTAAGATGCGTGGATTTCAACTCCCAGAATTCCCCAGTCTGTGTACTTTAAAATAACTGGACTTCAACCCCCAGAATTCCTTGCCAGGATGGGTGGACTTCAACCCCCAGAATTCCTTGCCAGGATGGGTGGACTTCAACTCCCAGAATTCCTTGCCAGGATGGGTGGACTTCAACACCCAGAATTCC